ATTAACCCAATCAAGATGGCTGTGGCAACAGAGCAGGCAGGAGACTTGGGTTTCCCTGGCGATGGAGGAAGACAAACTTCCTGGCCTTCCCTGGCCTCCACTCAAGGCTACAAAGTTTCAATTATAGAAGATAAATAAATCCCAGATCCCAGGGCCTCTGTTTGGGTCACTAGGGGGAGTGGCTGGCCGGCAAACCACCACAGGTCTCTCGCCCAGGCCACCCCACACCTCAAGGGAACCTCCACCCTGGTCCAGGACAACCTTCAGGGCAAACCAGCTGGCCCCCACCTGTGCACCAGGTCTCTATCGTATCTAATAAAGGAATAATATGCAAATTGACCATCATTCCAACACACAATATGGCTGCCCCCATGTGGACACAAGATGGCCAGCAGGGGAGGGCAGTTGGGAGGGATCAGGCCTGCAGGGGAGGGCAGTGAGGGAAGTTGGGGACAACCGGGCCTGCAGGGGAGGGCAGTTAGGGGTGACCAGGCCTGCAGGGGAGGGCAGTTAGGGGCATTCAAACTGGCAGGAGAGTAGTTAGACATAAATCAGGCCACCAGGGGAATGGTTAGGGGGTGATCAGGCTGGAGGATTTCAATAAAGATTTGGGGAAAGTCAAGAATGTTCCAAAGAAGCACTGACTTCCAAAAAGGATTTGAGGGAAGGCAGAAGGGGTTAGGAGCAATCAGGAAAGCATCCAGGTGAGCAGTTGGGAGCCAGCAGTCCTGGATTGTAAGAGGGATGTCCGGCTGCTCGTTTAGGCCCAATCCTACTGGGATCAGGCCTAAATGGGCAGTTGGACATCCCTTTAGGGATCCCAGATTGGAGAGGGTGCAGACTGGGCTGAGGGACACACACACACACACACACACACACACACACACACACACACGCATGAATTTCATGCACCAGGCCTCTAGTATATATGGATTAGTGCTCAAAAAATATTTTTGTTAACAAATTGCCATTCTTCCTAGAATTTTATGGTGACATTGTACAAGTTCCCTTTTACCTTGGCTACTAGGAAACTCAGAGATAAATCTAGTACACAGTGACTGTAGCAGTCACATTCTAGGCTTCTGGTTCAGAAATCTTTCCTTTCCAACTGCTGCACCCTAACCTTTTGTGAGTTTTGAAGTGCTCTGTATGTGGTTTAATATTTTAAGTGCCCTCAAATCCTTTTTTTGGAAGTCAGTGCTTCTTTAAAACATTCTTGACTTTCCCCAAATCTTTATTGAAATCCTCCGCAGTCTTCAAAATCCAATTTGCCATTATCCTGCTGCTCAATTACTATAAACGGGTTATTTTTTCTATCTATACTGACATACACACTACCGGGATATAAATACATGGGACAAAAAGGACTTGATAATATATATGTTTTGCAATTTGCTTTTTTCACCCACTAAGTATCTTAGCAATTTTTGCATGGCTCTGACTGTGCCAATCCCTACCAGCTTCTTTGCATGAGACTTTAGAATGTAATTCCCTTCTCAACTCGGATCAGGACCCACGTCTTGACATCTGTGTTGAACCAACTACATAGAGCCCACGCTCTGGGCATGCATTTATTCACTAACTATGCATTATGTCCTACCATGTGCCAGAGAGGCACTGAGTTAAACCCTGAGGGACATAGACATGAGCAAGATCAGCATCTTGTGTGCAAGGATGGATACATACTGTATTTGTACCACTGAGTACAGTAGCTTTAACTACAGGCAGCGTTTGAACTCCCGAAACATGGTGAGTCCTCACTGAGGGGTGCTGACCATGTAAAACACACACTGGGATGGGAAAACTTAACATGAAAAACAAAAGTACCCAACTGATGATTTTTATATTGATAAGCTGTTAATATGAATTTTGAGCCGAGACTGTTTTTAGATTCACTTGTTGATAGTTACGTATTTGTTGTTCATAATTTTTATCTTTATTTACTTTCTTTTCTGAAAGAATCCCTTTCAGCAATTCATATAATTCTGGTTTGGTGGTGATGAACTCCTTTAGCTTTTTTTTATTAGTGAAGCTCTTTATCTGTCCTTCGATTCTGAGTGATAGCTTTGCTGGATAGATTATCTTTGGCTGTAGATTCTTACTATTCATCACCTTGAATATTTCTTGCCATTCCCGTCTGGCCTGCATGATTTCTGTTGAGAAATCAGCTGACAATCGTATAGGTGCTCCTTTATAGGTAACTACCTGCTTTGCTCTTGCTGCTTTTAATATTCTCTCTGTCATTTGCTCTTGGAATTTTAATTATGATTTGTCTTGGTGTGGTCCTCTTTGGATTCCTTTTGTTTGGAGTTCTGTGTGCTTCCTGGACTTGTAAGTCTAATTCTTTCACCAGGTGGGGGAAGTTTTCTGTCACTATTTCTTTCAGTATGTTTTCGATATCTTGCTCTCTCTCATCTTCTGGGACCCCCATAATTCTGATGTTGGTTCGCTTGAAGTTGTCCCAGAGGTTTCTTACATTATCTTCAATTTTCTGGATTCTCTTGCCTTCTAGCTTCTGCGGAGGAGTGTCTTCTGGCTCTTTATGTTCCAAATCTTTGACTTGATTCTTGCGATCTTCCATTCTGTTTTTAGGACTCTGTATAATATTTATTTCAGACAATGTATTCTTTATTTCTAGTTGATCCCTTATCATTTCTTGTTGATTCCTTATTAATTCTAGTTGATCCCTTTTCATATCCTCATAGGTCTTATCCATCTTTTCTAGGAAATTCTTAAAAAACCTTATAAGCGTAGATTTGAACTCTATATCCAGTCGCTTTTTGTCCTCCATTTCTTTCGTTTGTGATCTATTTCATTGTCGCATTTTCGCAGCTTCCCTGATGGGGCAGGGCTTCAGGGTGGAGCCTAAAGCCTTGGCTTCTGTCAGCCCCGCCCTATGCGGCTCCTGTGTCTCAGGGTCCTTCAGTACTCTCTGCAAGCACCTCTGAGAGAAAGGTGCCCTCGATTTTCGCCTGCTACCAAACAGTCTAGGCTCTCCCCAATGAGCCCGGTATTGGGGTTCAGTTCAGTTGGAAGTGGAGTTGGAGGTGGCGTTCAGAGCAGTCTGGAGCCCCTGTCTCCTTCCCGCCAGGGCAATCCCGCGGCACAGCCGGCCGTCCCTTCTCTGAGCGCCCTGTGCGTGCCTCCACGACCTCCTTTTGCCGCTCCCCCGGGGTTCCGCCTTACAGCCCAGCTCCCTGTGGATGAGCCTGGGTCCCCGGGGGTCTGGCCTAGAACTGGGGTTCAGAGCAGTCGGAACTGGGGCCCAGCACAGTCGGAGCTTTTATCTCCTTCCTGCTAGGGAACACCAGCCAGGGACTCAGCCTCCCTCCTCTCCGGCTCCGTCCTCTCCGCGCGCCGCATGTCTCCGTATCTTAGGCTTTTCCAGCTCCTCCGAGTTTCCTTCTGGTTTTCTCCTTGCTTCTCGTTGTAGAATTCCCAGTCAGTCGACTTTCCTGTAGTTCTGGGTAATGTCCATTTTATATTTTAGTTGTATTTTATTGAAATTGTTGTGTGCGGCTGCGGCTAGGTGTTTATCTTGACTGCCGTCTTGGATTCTCATAAAAATATATTTTAAATAAAATAAATAGGCCGCAAAGAGAAGCTCCCTATCATATCCTCTTTTATTATCCTCACACTTTTCAATAACTAAATCTACCTTTTTATTTATTTGTTTATTGCCTGTGTCTCCCATTCATCCCAGTGTGAGCTCCATAAGGGCATGAACTTGCTTGTCTTATTCGTGGTTTTAGAAAAGTGCTCAGTAAATATTTGCTGAGTGCCCTAGCCAGTTTGGCTCAGTGGATAAAGCATAACCTGTGGATGAAAGGTTCCGAGCAATTCTGGCCAAGGGCACATGCCTGATTTGCAATCCCCAGTAGGGGGCGTGCAGGAGGCAACCGATCAATGATTCTGATGTTTCTGTCTCTCATTCTCCCTTCCTTTCTGAAATCAATAAAGAAATATATAGAGCCCTAACTGGTTTAGCTCAGTGGATAGAGCGTCGGTCTGCGAACTCAAGGGTCCCAGGTTTGATTCTGGTCAAGGACATGTACCGTGGTTGCGGGCACATCCCCAGTAGGAGGTGTGCAAGAGGCAGCTGATCGATGTTTCCCTCTCCACGATGTTTCTAACTTTCTATCCCTCTCCCTTCCTCTCTGTAAATATATTTAAAAAAAAAAATATATATATATATATATATAAATTTGCTGAGTAAATGAATGCATGAATGATCAGATTAAATCAATGAAACAAAAGGAGAGAGATCTATTATGAAGCGATCATAAAATAACCATAGGAACCTGTTATAAAACAATCATAAAATGGTGCCTTGAATATTACTTAGCTGGAATGTATGAGCCACATTACATGATCTATCTTTGCCACCTAATAGAAAATGGTAATGTATTAGATAATAACAGTATAGTTTTACTTTCCTGTTTGCCTGAGCCTGATGCTGTGCTGAGTGTCTGTCTGCCCACATACTTTCTCTCCTCCTTCCAACCCCCTGCAGTAGGTGGTGTTATCGGCTCCCTTTGCTGATAGGGAACTGAGACGGGAGCAGCAGGAGTGAGGAGTGAGGTGAGGGTATTGTTGAGCAGCCTTGGGTCACCTCCGTCTTTCTGAGCCCTGAGCTGGCTGTGCCTACCACCCACTCTGTCCCCACACTCTACTCATTGAATTTCAACGATCCTCACGATTTAGTCTCTAAATATACTCGCCATAGTAAGGGTCCCTCGTAGCATGACTGTAAAAACGTGTCCGCTCTGTGTTGTGCATGGTTGACATGGACATGAAGAAGCCCAGAGATGGCAAGGACAGAGCGAGCTCCATGTGGCAAATGGGGGGAAGGGGGGAGGGAGCGGGGCTGACAAGGGAGGGGTGATGGGGAAGGAGAGGAGAAGCCAGCCTGGGGGCAGAGTGCCTGGGACCCAGCATCAGAGACTCCCCGGCCTGGCCTCAGGGCCAGCAGGGCTCACCTCCCTTCTCTCTGCTGCAGGATGGGGTGCGTGAAGTCCAAATTCCTCCGGGACAGAGACAAGGTCTCGAAAAGCGAGGCCTCTGCCAACCCACACAGCCCGTTGTATGTGCCAGATCCCACGTCCACAGGCAAGAGGGTGAGTGGGGGAGGAGGGGGATGGGGGGGGGGCTGCCCTGTGCTGGTACAACAGCCTCCTGTTTTCCCAAGTGTGAGCAGGCATGTTTGGGGTGAAATGGGACTGACCAGTCACCAGAAGCCTCCTACTTAACTCTCCAGCATACGTCTGCACTGAGCATCCAGGGCAAGGATGTCACTTCTTTTTTTTCCTTTTTTTTAAATCCTCACCTGGGGATATTTTCCTATTGATTTTTTACCCGTTGACTTTTTTAGAGAGAGAAAGTCAGAGAAATATGGACGTGACAGAACACATCAATTTGTTGCCTCTTATATGAGCCCTGACCAGGGCATGGGCCAGGGAGGAGCCTGCAACCAAGATATATGCCTTAATTAGAATTGAACCCAGGACCCTTCAGTCTGCAGGCCGATCCTCTAGCCACTGAGCCAAACCGGCTAGGGCCAAGGACGTCACTTCTTCTTCTTCTTCTTCTTCTTCTTCTTTTTTTTTTTTTTTTTAATATATTTTATTAATTTTCCACAGAGAGGAAGGGAGAGGGATAGAGAGCTAGAAACGTTGATGAGAGAGAAACATCGACCAGCTGCCTCTTGCACACCCCCAACTGGGAATGTGCCCGCAACCAATGTACATGCCCTTGACCGGAATCGAACCTGGGACCTTTCAGTCCCCAGACAGACGCTCTATCCACTGAGCCAAACAGGTTTTGGCGGACGTCACTTCTTATCCTGCCACGCGGCCTGGGCTGCAGTGACCAGATCCCAGGGAACAGGCCAGGCCTCAAGCCCAGGAAGTAGCAGAAACTAAACACAATGAGTGACCAGCAAGTAACAACAGTGGCTGAAGTAATGGCAGTGAGGATACTATCAAGGCTCCTAGCAATGGCTGTAGGAACAGTAACCGCTCTACTCCCATTGCTAAATACCCGTGTGAGTGTAGCAGCAAAAAGACAAGTGTAACACTGGCAGAGGTATGGGCTTACATTTGTCCAGAGCTTACCCAGAGCCAAGCACTCTCCTGAGTGCTTTATAGTTATTAACACCTTTACTCCCCACAATAATCTCATTGTGGGTCACGATTTTCATTACACCCATTTTACAGAGGAGCCGCAGGTTAAACAATCTGCCAAAAGCCACGCGGTGAGTAAGAAGGAGGACCAGGACTTAGACTTGGCTCATGCCACTTCCAAAGTGTCAGCAGTAGGAGCGGAAGTAACAGAGGCAGAAGCTGAGTGCTAACGATTGAAGCAGCAGCAATGGCGGTAATAGTGTGGGCAATTATGGTAACACCACCACTAGGAATGGTAGTTGCCCCAGCGATATCAGAGGGAGGTAGCAGTAGTGATCGTGGTGGCAACCATAACAATACTGGTAATGAGATGACAGTAGTAATAGCAGCAGCAACAGTTATACTAACAGAGACTATTTTTGAACACCTACTGTGTTCCAGGCACCGAGTGAGGTGTTTCCACATCACTAATCCTCGCCAAAAGCTGTGAGGAAGGAGTTCTGACACTTTACAGCCAGGGTGACTAGGGCTTACAGTGGTTCAATGACTCCTTGGGGTCACAGGGCTGAGCAGAGGGAGCTCCAGGCCTTTCTACCCTGAAGGCTGGGTTCTCTCTCCTTCCGGGCTCCTTGAGTCCAACCCCTTCCCGGAGGCTACCTAAGAAAGCTCAGAGGCAGAGGTGTCCGCCTTCACCTGCACCCTTAGAAGGACAGTCTAGCCGAAATCGGTTTGGCTCAGTGGATAGAGCGTCGGCCTGCAGACTGAAAGGTCCCAGGTTCGATTCCTGTCAAAGGCATGTACCTTGGTTGCAGGCACATCCCGGGGGGTGGGGTGTGTGTGTGTGTGTGTGTGTGTGTGTGTGCAAGAGGCAGCTGATCGATGATTCTCTCTCATCCATGTTTCTAACTCTCTATCACTCTCTCTTTCTTTCTGTAAAAAATCAATAAAATATATATTTTTAAAAAGGACAGTCTATTACCCCCCACCCCCCTACTCCTTGTTCCCAAACCTGCCCCTCAGCCCGTTCCAAACACACCCACCCCCTTTGCCATGCCAGCCTGTGGAGGTTGAAGGCAAAGATCTTACCCTAACCCACTTGTTTCTTCCACATCTTCTTGCTTACACCATGGCTTCCTGGCCTCTCTCCACCCTGCTGGCCCTTTGCCGGGCATGATGTCTGGAAATGGGGGAGTCGTAGGAGAGTCGCCGCCCTCCCTCTGCACAGCCTCTTTTAAAACAGCCTGAGATGACATGAGCTTCTCACACGGGTGACGTCCTAGGCTGACGTCCTAAACCCTGATCGCTCCTGGGTCTGCTCCTCTCCGACCTACCTCACCGGGGCCCTTGCTGTGGTTCTCCGAGGCCCTCCAGCTTGTCCCCAATGGGAAGTGGAGGGTTTTCTCCCCCCAGTTTTCGGTTGTCCTCTCTGAGCATCAGATTTAAGGGATTCTATATTCAGCCACTCAGGGTTCCCAGGTCAAATCAGTTTGGGAAACTGACCAGATCAGGCTCCTCCCCTGGAAAAGTCGGGGCTTTTATGACTCTTGGCAGCGGGCCTGGGGCTCTCCCAGAAGAGGGTTATACTTCACCGTGTTTCCCAAACCCGGTTCTTTAAATGACTGTTTATCTAAGCACGTGACACACAAAGGCATTCCCCTCGGAAAGAAAAGTCAGACATTACAGCTAACGCTACATTGGCCTCTGACCAAAGACCCCTCCCCAGCGGTCTCATCCCTCTCCCCATAGGCATCCACGGTGGTCAGCGTGGTGAGGACCCTTGCGAACCTTTGCCGTGAACATGCACTCACACGTACATAGTATGTGTCCTCAGGAAGTGTTTAGGGAGGGTGTGTATGCATTTCATGTCAATGTATCCTATTCTGAAGAACTAGCTTTGTTCACTCAACAATACATCTTTCAGGTTTAGTTGTGTCAGGAAGGAGGCTTGGCCTCCCTCTGACAAGGGCTGCTTAGAGCGTGGCCATCTGGCTGCCAATTCCCCTTGAGACAGACACTGAGCTTCCTTCGCTTACATCAGGGAGCCTTTACTCACAGAGCATGTTGGTGGCCAGGGTTTCTTCAAACATGCCTCGGAAAACATGGGCCTGGACCAGCCCCCTCACTGTACGTCGAGGGGAAGAGACAGGCCGGTATCCCCCAGGGTGTCCAAAGCCAAGGGCAGAGCCCACAGCTCCAGATCCTTGTCGTGGCTGTAGCCCATGTGCCATGGGACCTCAGGCATGTCCTCTGCCCTCACTGGGCCTCCTCCCAGGACACACAGGGCTGGGCTAAGAGGCCTGGGGGTATCCTTTTTTGACACAGGCCTTCTGTGGCTCCCCACACACTATTGGCTTCATCCCCTCCTCTTATTTCTTCTCCACAGCGGCCTGACACCAACAACGGCAACCCCCCAGGGTCCACGGAGGGTAAGTATCTGGTGAACGCGTGCGGTGCACTCTGATGTTCTGTAGAGGTTGAGGTTAGGTTCTCAGTCAGAGCTTGAGGCAAAGGTTCATCTAAACCACCCTTGAGCTCTGACCAGTTTGGCTCAGTGGATAGAGCATCGGCCTGCGGACTCAAGGGTCCCAAGTTCTATTCCGGTCACAGGCATGTACCTTGGTTGCGGGCACATCCCTAGTAGGAAGTGTGCAGGAGGCAGCTGGTCGATGTTTCTCTCTCATCGATGTTTCTAACTCTCTATCCTTCTCCCTTCATCTCTGTAAAAAATCAATAAAATACATTTTTTTTTTTTAAAACACCCTTGAAAATCCCCTAAATTGCCACCCACATCCTTCGTACAGGCCGTTTTGTTTCTATATAGCACTGTTTGATAACATGAACAAACCACTGTTAGCTTTCAACTATAGAATCGCACCCAGCATGGCAAGATGCTTCCTTATACAGATAGACACATCAGGGGGTCCAGGGCTGGGTGCCAGGGTTGGAGGGGAAACCCCCAGGGCGGTTGGGTGCTCGGATAAAGCCTCCCCACCCCATGTGTCTCTCGTCCCCGCAGGTTCTAAGGACACCATTGTGGTTGCCCTGTATGACTACGAGGCCATTCACCATGAGGACCTCAGCTTCCAGAAGGGAGACCAGATGGTGGTCCTGGAGGAGTGAGTCCTCATCCCCTCCCCGAGACATCCCTGCCCCCGATACCCAGTACACTCTATTCTGTCCTTCAGTCAAGACCCTTAGGCTAGGGCAGTGGTCGGCAAACTCATTAGTCAACAGAGCCAAATGTCAACAGTACAACGACTGAACTTTCTTTTGAGAGCCACATTTCTTAAACTTCTTCTAATGCCACTTCTTCAAATAGACTCGTCCAGGCCATGGTATTTTGTGGAAGAGCCACACTCAAGGAGCCAAAGAGCCTCATGTGGCTCGCGAGCCGCCGTTTGCCGACCACTGGATTAGGGTATATGTGCCTGATGAGAATAGGCCTGATTGTAAAAGAGGAGGAAGGGCTGAAGGCACAGTAAAGGGGCTTGTGCACTTACTAACGGCGCCCCCCCGGGCAAGGAGGAACGGCTCAGAGAGCTTCCCCGGGAAGCCTTCCTCAGTCTCCTGTGACCCAGCTGCAAGCTGACCTGTGGGCCAGACCCTGAGGAGGTGACTTGGCACGCAGAAATCTTTGGATCTCTGAGTTTGCTGCCTTGAATCTCCTCCAGTTTTCACCATCAGCGAGTGTAGTGTCCAGTATGGGGGGAGGCGGGGCCCCAAAATGGCAGTGGTTATGCTTGGTCAGACTCCTGAGCCCACTCCCGCTGGCTCTCGGCCACAGCTGAACCCCTAGAGCCTGCCATGGGCACAGGGCCCCACCGGCTAGGAAGGCCAAGGCCGCAAGACCAGGGAGCAATAGTGGGGCCGCAGACCTAGGTCTGTAGGCTGTGAGTGCAGGGACAAACCTTGATTTCGGGCCGTCAGATGCGCAGTGGGGACTGTTGTAAAGATCCCTACCCCTAATCGTGGGTATGCAGGGGGTACTCCAGGCCAAAGCTGAGGGCCCAAGAGGACTAGGGAAGTCCTGCCCACTGACCCCTTTGCTCCCTCCTGCTCTTAGGTCTGGGGAATGGTGGAAGGCTCGGTCCCTGGCCACCCGGAAAGAGGGCTACATCCCAAGCAACTACGTTGCCCGCATTGACTCTCTGGAGACAGAGGAGTAAGTCTTTTATTTCCCTGCCCTCCAGAAGGAAGCCTGAGCAAGGCCAGCCTTGTTCCTGCCTCAGGGCCTTTGCACGCCCTGCCTCACCTACCTGGCATTCTCTTCCTGGGGTTCTTTGCGTGGCTGGCTCCTTCTCGTCTTTCGGGACTCAGAGGGGCCTTTCTCTGACCACCCTGTCCAAAGCAGGTCCCCTTTGTGACTTTCCCTCTCATTCCCCTTTCCACACTTCTCACTAGCATTTCTTCCTTGTGCAAGATCCGCGAGGTAACTTCCCAGGGGTGGGATTGCCGGGGAGATGGTTCTTAGTAAATATCCTGCTTGACTCTTTCACCACGGCTGGAATCATTTTACAAAATGGAATCAAAGAAGGTTGGGGGAGGGAGCACAGCGTAGCACGGTGATTAAGAGTGTGGGCTCTAGAGTCAGACTGCCTGGATTTGAAGTGTGGCTCCACCACTTTCCAGCTGTGTGATGCCAGGCAGGTTACTTGCTCTCTCTGTTCCTCAGTTTCCTTATCTATAAAATGGGGATAATAAGGCCCTGACAGGAATGTTGCGTGTTCTTGTGAAATTTGCAGAACATTTTGACCGCAGTTGGGTTAAGACGTCTGTATTTTCACACTCAGCCTCTCTGTCTGTCACCTTACCGCTCTCACTGGGTGCTGTTGGAAGGACCTCTGGGCATTTTGTATTTGTAAGGCTGTGTTCCCCAATGTTTGTAAGTTTCTGTCAGTCTCAGCAAGCTGGATTCAACCCTGATCAAATGTCTATATTAATATGAAAAGAATCATTGTTTTTCCCAAAAGATTCTTTGAGGAAAGTCAGCGCTGCAGGACACTAGGCCCTCGGTACCCTGGTGGCCCTGTCAGTGGGACAGGACCACCCACCCAGGGCTCACACGCCGTCTCTTCCCCTTCCCACCAGGTGGTTCTTCAAGGGCGTCAGCCGGAAGGATGCAGAGCGCCAGCTTCTGGCCCCTGGCAACGTGCTGGGCTCCTTCATGATCCGTGACAGCGAGACCACCAAAGGTGACCCAGCAATCCCTATCTATCTATCTCTCTATCTCTCTATCTATCTATCTCTCTATCTATCTCTCTATCTATCTGGATGATGATGATGATGATGATGATGAAGACATCGCGTTTGCTGAGCGTTTACATCCTGACTGCTTCACAGGCATTACTTCTTTCAATTATCAGGCAATGTGATGAGATAGGGAGGTCTCACAACCAATCCCATTTTACAGATGAGGAAACTGAGGCACAGAGAAGTGATGCACTCACTTGTCCAAGGCCTCACAGCTGGACATGGAGGAGCCTGGACAAGAACCTGGCAGCCTGATTCCACAGCTCACTCTTACCCTTGTGCTCCACTGCCCGGCTGCCGGGATGGTGCCGGGGGTGGCTTTATAGGGGTGGCTTTGTCCGGAAGGGGTGCCTCGGGAGTGGCCGGACTCTGAAGTCCCACTCCTGAGCAGTTTCTCTCTCACCGATGCAGGGAGCTACTCTTTGTCGGTGCGAGACTACGACCCCCAGCATCGGGACGCAGTGAAACATTATAAGATCCGGACCCTGGACAACGGGGGCTTCTACATCTCCCCACGGAACACCTTCAGCACGCTGCAGGAGCTGGTGGCCCACTACAAGAGTAAGTCCTGCCCAGGGCCTCACCCCAAGCAGGGTGGACCTGCCTCCCGGGAACCCGAGTCATGGTGCACGGTGCCCTCTGAGGCCTGCTGAGCTCTTTCTGACTCTCCCCGAATAGTTGCTGTGGATTCTCCTGGAATCCTAGGCCTGTTGAGGAGGAGGGCAGAGTGGCATCTGGTCATGCTCTGCTCTCTGGGAATGTCCCTGATCATGGCAACCCCCTGGAGCAGTGGCCAACGCCGCCAACCGGGCAGGGGAGCCTCTGAGGGGAAGCCTCTGGCTGGCCGAGAGCTGGCCGCTCTCGCTGACACGCAGCTCTGTTCCAGAGGGGAGTGACGGGCTCTGCCAGAAGCTGACGGTGCCCTGCGTGTCCGCCAAGCCCCAGAAGCCGTGGGAGAAAGATGCCTGGGAGATCCCGCGGGAATCCCTCGAGCTGGAGAAAAAGCTTGGCGCCGGGCAGTTTGGGGAAGTCTGGATGGGTAAGGACCCCAGGCCAGAGAGTGGTGGGAAGGAGGGAGCAGGGAGGGCATCCCTTCCAGGAAAAGCCCGAGACAGAGTGGGAATGCCACCAAGGGTCGAAGGGGAGATCTGCGTAACAACCACAAAGGAGCAATTCCTCTGAGAGCAAACCAAAGTGTCAGTTCCTCTGAGTGCAAACCAAAGTGTCCCGCCATGCAAACACCCATGTACCTCTGCGGCCATTCACCTGGTGGAGTTAACAATGTCCTCCTGGGAAGCAGGAGTCCTATATAGATGAGGAATCTGCTCCCTGACGCAGAGCCACGAGGCCTACTAGTTGGGAGTGAGATCACCAAGGCCTCTTAGGATGATGGGAATGAAGAATGGGGAAATGCAGCCTGGAGATTTCCAGGGGAGTTCAGTGTTGGTAACTGTGTGCCTAGCACCATGCCAAGGCGTTGTGGGGCACCTATAAGGCACGCTCCACCCCTGCTGTCCTGCCGCTAATAACTGGAGAACAGCAATGCCTGGCCCAGTGCCTGGTGCAGCCGATTGTGTTCCCACCCACCATGTTTTAAATGAGATTGAAGACAACTTACAGAGTCGCAAACAAGTTAGCCCCCCCAAAATAAAATGTTTAAATACACATATTCTGACTATCCTTGTTGAGAGCCTGCTATATGCCAGACACCGAATAGGAGGTTGTGGCAGAGACAGTATGGAGATGAAGGGAAGACAGGTCTGAGTAATGAGTTAGAAAACAAAACTATATTATATAAGGGTTTCTTCTTACTAAAGGAAGACCTCAGACTTGGATTAAAACTTCCTGGAAGCCAAGGCAAAAATGGAAACACAAGCAATTAAGAGATTTATGCCCCGGAGTAGAAATGGGGTGAGGGAACATCACGTGGGATGTTCCTGGGGTGGGAGGGGTGGTTAGGTCCCCGAGGAGCTGAGTGACATGCAGGCTGACTTGTACACAAAAGTCAAGGGGAGTTTGGTGGATGGTGAAGCTGGCAAGGTAGACCATGATAAAACTGGTATTTATTTTAAGAGCCGTGTTAAGGTTAAAGCATTTTAAGCAGCGATGGTATATGTGAGAGGGAGAGACAAGGCAAAGTGGTGTGTGTGTATGAGGGACAGGATCTAAATATAGACTGGTTCTTTGACTGAGACAGCTTTCTGTAAGAACAACAGCCCTTCAAAGGCAGGGCTTATCATTTCTACTTGGCAGAGGAAGAAGCCAGAGATGAGGAAGGATACGTGACTTGCCCAAGGGCGTACCGCTAGGAAGGCGTCTGAGCCAAAGCCCATCCCTCTCAAGGGGCCGCGTTGGGCACGGAAGACTTTGTGGAGGAGGCAGTTCTGCAGCTGGTCCTTCCTGGGCGGTGGGGGAAGAGCAGGGGCTCTGACCATCTTTCCTGCCTTCTCGCCCTCTGCAGCCACCTACAACAAGCACACCAAGGTGGCCGTGAAGACCATGAAGCCAGGGAGCATGTCTGTGGAGGCCTTCCTGGCCGAGGCCAACCTGATGAAAACGCTGCAGCACGACAAGCTGGTGAAGCTGCATGCCGTGGTCACGGAGGAGCCCATTTACATCATCACGGAGTTCATGGCCAAAGGTGCGGTGACTGGGGGCTGGGGGTGCAGGCTGTGTGGCCCATACAAGTCCATTGAACACTCAGAGGTCACTTTGACCTGGTTCTTGCCCTCGAGGTGCCCCAAGTCTGGCCAGGAAAGCTCTTCCCACAGGGATAAGCAGCCATTGCCCAGTCCTCTTGGTTAATGTGGTGAAATCATGTGAACGGGATGCTGGTGGGAGGGGAGCACAGGAAGCTACCAGGAGAGAGGAGTAGGGCAGACCCCCATTGGGTGATGGAAAAAGAGATGGATTTACTATGTGCCTTAAAGGCCAGGGGAGGGATTCTCCCTGTCGGCCACATTTCCTGCATAGGCCAATGCTCTGGGAAAGAGAGTCCACAAAGCACCCGCTCCAGGCTGTCCCCATCCTGCTCACCCATGATCCAGAATTTCTCAGGGACTTTTTTAAGCCACCATTTCACAAACATTTTCAATCCCTGCCCATTTAAAAAATATATTTTTATTGATTTCAGAAAAGAAGGGAGAGGGAGGGAGGGAGACAGAAACATCAATAATGAGAATCATTAATTGGCTGCCTCCTGCACACCCCTCCCCCAACCCCACCTCAACTGGGGATAGAGCCTGCAACCCAGGCATGGGCTCTGACAGAGAATTGAACTGTGACCTCCTGGTCTAGAGGTCAATGCTCTACCACTGAGCCACAGGTCGATACCTTCCCATTTTTTATTAATAGAAACATATCACCCCTTATTTAATATGATTTAAAAATCTCAAAACTTTTTTTCATTTTCTAATTACACAGTTACACCAGCCTTATAAGACCATAGCCCAAGTCACCTGGGCTCAGAAAGCTGTCTCAGTCAAAGAACCAGTCTATATAGTAGTCACAAAGTCACCTAAAAACACTCAGCTCATTTTTTCTCAAACACTAGGCATGGTAAATAGATGTTTTACTTAAATCCCTTACTCTGAACAATTTTACCCTAAGTAGTGAGAGCGCTCATTGTTGCTCCCCCTCCCCCACAGGAAGCCTGCTGGACTTCCTGAAAAGTAATGAAGGCAGCAAGCAGCCATTGCCAAAACTCATTGACTTCTCGGCCCAGGTGAGAGGCTAGTGGGGAAGCTGGGGGGAGGTGAAGGGAGGGTAATTATTTATTCAGCACAAACTTATTGATATGCTATAATAACAGCAGCAATACTGGATAACATTATATATTTCCCCCCACTAATTATTAGAGAGAGTGGAAGGGAGGGAGAGAAAAACATCAACGTGAGAGAGACCCATAGACTGGTTGCCTCCTACATGTGCCCCAATGGGAGCTGGGGATTGAACCTGCAACCCAAGAATTTGCCCTTGACCAGGAATCGAAATCGCAATCCTTTGGTGTACAGGCTGACCTCTCACCACTTAGAAACACTGGCCTAAGCACATTTATTGAGCACTCTGTATAAAAGTATACTTTTAAAATGTGTCTTACATGTACTAGCTCATTAAGTCCTCACCTCAACTTTCTAGGAAGGGATTTTTGTTATTTGTTCTTTTTAAAAATATATGTTTTTATTGATTTTAGAAAGAGAGGACATGAGAGGGAGAGAGAAACATCAAGATGCCGCCTCCTGCATGAATCCCTGACTGGGAGTATGTGTGTGTGTGTGGGGGGGGGGGGGGGACGGGGACGGGGGTTGAGCCTGCCACCTGGGCATGTGGCCTGACCGGGAATTGATCTGGTGACCTTCCAGTGCTTGTGACAGTGCTCAACCAACTGAGCAACACCAGCCAGGCTGTTAACTATTCTTATGTAACAAAGCTTAGGAGCTTGAAACAATAATTTATTTCTCATTATTCTGTGGGTTGACTGGAGTTGGCTTTGTGGTTGTCCTGCTCCATGTGTTGAAACTGAGGTCACTCACATGCCTGCATTCTGCTGGCGGCTTGCCAAGGGCGAGACTGTCCATGGTGGTGTCTCATCCTCTGAATTTTTTTTTTTTTTTCCATGTGGCACCACTCAGTAGTCCAGCCAGAGTTTGTGGCTTGGTGGCGAGATCCCAATACAGAGTATACCAAGGGGCCAAACCCTAATGTGCAAATGCCGATTGATTTAGCCTGCATGGTGCTTGCTAATGTCTCATTGGCTAAGGCAAGTCATAGGGCTCAGCCCAGAGCCAATGTGGAAAGGCACTGGCCAAGGCCCTGAATCCAGGAGGTATGGTCCATTGGGAGTCACCAATGTGACAGTGTAACCACAGGATGGTAATTGCCATCCAAGTTTACCCAAGAGAAACTTGAAGCATTGAGAAGATACATACAGATGAGGGAACTTAGGCCCAGCTTGCGTAAGTTACTGTGTTCTTTCGATGGGTATGGCAGTGAACAAAATTGCTGTCCTCACAGAGCGAACAGTCCAGGTGGGAAGACAGATATTAAATAACTGAATCTCTTCAAGAGCCATGACCCAAGGGGGCCTGCCTCAATGTCAAAAGGATGTACTATCCGGCAAAATCATCACGTGCACAAGTCACAGGAACACTTCTTAAAACCCCATCGTTCTCATCTTCCCTTCACGCTCTGCAGCTCCTCTCACCCTCAGTTGAGTGCTTTTTATTTCTGTCCTCTTTCATTCTTTCCTTTTTGAGGTAAAACAGATAGGAAAGGGGAGCTATGGAAGTACACAGCTGGACTAGGAGCAACCCAAGGAGACTTCCCGGAGGAGTAGAAGTGAGTTTGATGAAGAGGAGAAGACAGGGTGTTTTAGACCAAGGAAATGGCCTGTGCCAAAGCTCAAAGGGAAAACACAAGAACTGGGCCTGGCCAGCTGGGGCCTGGGGCTGGGAAAGATAAAGGGAGTGTGGTTTGCAGCCTGGAGTGTGTTAAGGGAGACCTGCACCAGGGCCTAGACCTGAGCCTTCTGATGATGCCTAAGGCAGAGCCCATTTGAGGAGGCAAATCCTAGGTGTTGGGGGAGGTCAGAGGTATTAAAAAAAAAAAAAAGTCTTGCATTTCAGAGCCTGGAATGCCAGAGACATAAAGACATATGACTTTAATGGGCCCTGTCCTTAGAGAAACAATAGTCCAGTGTGTGTTGCTAAATTATAGCCATCAAACTGGCAGAAACCTTGCTGGGAAAGGTCATCAACAGTTTCAGACTGAGACAGCTTTCTGAGTCCAGGTGACATGGGCTATGGTCTTATAAGGCTTGTATAACTGTGTAACCTTTCTGGACAAGAGCCACTCTGCTCCTTTCACAGATGGGAAAACAAACCAAGGGAGGAAAAGAGGTGCCAAGCCCTATGCATCCAGGAGCAGAGGTGACCTCAGGGTCCAGGGACAAAAAGGAGCCAACCTGGTCTTTGCCTCCAGTCTCAGAGTCAGATAAGCACAATGCTGGTTACCCCAGGCCTGTTGCCACCTGGCCGATGGCTTTGGATCCACTGTGGGTCTCAGTCTCTCCATTTGAACTGGACCACACCTCTGGTTTTCAAGTTCAGAAGCTTTTTTTAAGGCAGAATTTATTTTTATTTTATTTTTTAAGGCAGAATTCTGTTGGTCAATGAAATTATATACAGTAGCTGAGTATTTCAAAATAGGTCAAAACAGCTGTTCTGATTGTAAGGTGGGACCTCATATGTGGCCTTTCTTTTTCCCCCCTTCCCTATACATATTCCTACCCCACCCCTGGCTACCTTAAAGTATCAGTAGGATTCAGTTTGAAGGGCTATAATATCCTACAGGTGCTTCCCACTCTGATTCTGTGATTCCTTGAAAGAAACCCAAGTTCTAATGCCTGACGTCATGGCAGCCCATTTGTTGGTCATGAATCTCACCACCTAATCCACCCCCAATTCTTAGACCAGCCATAAGCCCAGTAAACCTATCCCTTAATTCATTCCGTTAACAAAACCTTGAAAAGCAACACTTTGTGTATTGGGCTTAGGAGTTGCATAGCATTTTGATTTTGATCTTAGCTCTGCCTATGTAGCTTTGAGCAAGTTGGGTAACCTTTCTGAGTGCCACTTTTCTCAACCGAGAGTACTAATTGTCACCACTGAAGTAAATACTTAACATGCTAGAGACCATTCTTAGTTCTTGATGTAGGCTTGCAGATTTAATCCTTACTGAAGCCCTCAGAGGCAGGTTCTATTGTTGTCCCATTTTACAGAGAAGAAATGTGAGGCATAAAGGTTGAAATAGCTTGATGGGGCTCAAAAAGAACTGGCCCAATTCCAGAGGCACGTAGGCATCATCCCCTACTGTTCTATGTGGGTTTTGTCCTACCTGCCCCACAGAGCTCATGTGAAAATCAATAGCATGACGGTCTGCCAGTGGTAACTACCAGCATTAGTGCCAGCTCTGTGCTAAACAGATGGCCAAAAATTCCAGTAGATTAATGGCTAAGTGCATGGACCCTGAGCATGGTTGTTGGAGGTCTAGTCCTGTTATTTATTTCTCTGGCTTGCAGCATTCTCACCTATGAAACACAGCTGATCAAAATAGTGCCCCCCCCCTAAAGCAGAGAGTACTATTTGTTAAGTATCATCTTATAATCTATGTAGAAGGCTAATATGCTAAGTCTACCCAGCTAATGACATCACATAGGGACGCCTGGCTTCCTCTCCCTTGGGACTAGCCTCCTTGCAGTTTCTTCATCCCAGGAACATGACTTGCTTTATAGCCAAATGCAAATATTTTACACTTTTAAAAATATATTTTATTATTTTTTTTACAGAGAGAAAGGGAGAAGGATACAGAGTTAAAAACATCGATGAGAGAGAAACATTGATCAGCTGCCTCTTGCACACTCCCTACTGGGTATGTGCCTGTAACCAAGGTACACATCCTTGACCAGAATCAAACCTGGGACCCTTGAGTCCACAGACCAACGCTCTATCCACTGAGCCAAACCGGCTAGGGCCAAATATTTTACATGTTAACCAAATGTCTGTGAAGCGTATTCCTGAGCCTCATCTCATTTGATACAGAAGTCCTGGAGTAGGTAGATAGGAGACTCAGTGGAATTCTATTTTTATTAGCCAGAAAATGGAGATTGAGAAAGCTTAGACTCTTGATTCAACTGAAAAGAAGTAAGAAATGGTGGACCTTGAAAATGACTTCAGGTTTTCTCACTGCACAGAATATAGTCAAATATTGCTGCAGTTAAATATTTTACCCTTTGTTCTCCCTGCGTGATCTACAATAATAATGTGCTCCGTGTTGATATTTACTGCTGTATTGCTGACAATTACCTGAAAGAGAAGTTGGGGTGCATAACTGGGCTGGAAAAAGTTCAGCTAAATCAGAAAGCAGGTCTAATTAAGCAAGTATATATATATATATATATATATATATATATATATATATATATATATATGGTTAAGTTTTATACACGCAAGAATCACACAGGCAAGATTCATATAAAGCTCTCACTGGGGCCAATCACACACGTGTGTTTCAATCTGTCATTGTCAGTCATGAATTTGGTTGAGACTTCTATTATAGAGAACGGGCGAATAGCAATATTAAAATATTTCTTCTAATTAATTTCCTTTTAATGTGCATGAATTTGTGCACCAGGCCACTAGTACATGAATAAACTATGATGTCTGCCATTAAGGTAATAACTGTTGTTAACTGTGCCTCTTAGGACTCCTTATACATTTCCCACACACACACCCAGGCAAGACCTGTCTTACCTGACTCCCTGACAGGCTATCCCAAACAAAATTTAAAAGTCTGGAGTTTTTGTTGGAAGGTCTGCAGCCTCAGACCTCAGTTTCAATAGTCATGGGTGCCCCCTCCTGTCCACTTCTGGTAAGTGCACTGCCCATTTTTCCTCCAACCTTGAGCAGGCTAGTGCACTGGTTTGGTCTGTCTGGCGAGGCCCCCTATCCCTTCCAAATAATCTCACCAGATTACACCAGCTGCAGTCCTCCAGGACACTGGGATCTGCAGTAATTAGACAGCCAGCATGGTGCACTGGGATTGAGCCTGGTTTGAGTCTGACATTCAGAATTTTCTTGGTGCTATGATCTGGAAAACACAGATTGTGAAAGCACCTGACTCAAGGAGCATGAAGACCAGTTTGTAAATTACAAGTGCTGTTTAGTGGGTGTCTGAGAGTTAATAATAAACCTCTTTTTAAGGGTGAATGCACAACCATTCTATGTAAAAGATGTCTCTAAGGAAAAATACTACATTTTCCCATCAGAAACACCCAGGCCCCATTATGAATAAGAATCCTTAACACAGTCTAATTATTCACTTGGCAGCCATGATCACATTAAAATATACATCAGCCAACATCACATTCCTCCTCAAAGCCTTCTACTATCTTCACATCACACTCAGAATACAGTCCAACCTCCTCTCCAAGCCTACAAGGTCCTTCACAATCAGCCACTTCTCTCTCAACTCCCCCCTGGTCCCTGTGGCAACTTCTTCTCAGCGACCTGTTCCACAAACATCCTCGCTCATTTCTACCCCCAGGCCTTTGCACATGATGTTATTTATGCCAGGAACATTCTTATTTGACACGCTATCATCACTGAGATCTTCACATAAATTTCACCTCCTCAAAGCAGCCTTCCATGACCACTCATTCCAAAAGCCCTCTAGGTTTCCTCTCCTGTTACCCTCTTTATCTTTTCTTATAGTGCTTAATACCACCTACAGGAGTTTTGCCTGACTTAGCACATATTCAAGTAACATGTCTGGCACCCCCCAAGACACTCAGTAGATATCTGTGAACAAATGAATTTTTCCTTGTGAGGTTTGGGGATAAAGATGGCATAAGAGATACAGCAGAGCCCAGCTGGCATGGCTCAGTGATTGAGCATCAACTATAAACCTTGAGGTCACGGTTCGATTTTCCAGTCAGGGCACATGCCTGGGTTGTGGGCTTGATCCCCAGTGGGAGGCATGCAGGAGGTGGCCAATCAATGATTCTCTCTCATTATTGATGTTTCTATCTCTCTCCTTCTCCCTTCCTCTCTGAAATCAATAAAAATGTATTTTTAAAAAAGAGAGATACAGCATAATATGATGTGGGCCTAGATTGTCCCCAGAAAGAGCGCAGGGGAGGAAAGCTCTTCATATATCTGGTGTGAGTGGGTATCCAGGTCCCGGAGAATAATGCCATTGCTTCTCCTCAAAGTGCTCTATGGAACTCCCAGAACCTTAGAGAAGCCCCACACTAACTCAGGCCCTGCGGATCCTCCCAACCTGGAAGGGTAGACAGGGAAATGCCAGTCTGAGCTTAGGACTCTCCCACACAAAAAGAAGGAGCTGGAACACATGTTTTCCTATTTCTTCACACTTGGACACTCCTCTTCTGCCTTTGGGTGGAACTCATCTTGGGCTGGGCCAGATTTGAGGACAAGGATATCTCTGTTTTGGTTGGAGATTTCCGAAGGCATGGCCTTCATCGAGCAGAGGAACTACATTCACCGAGACCTCCGAGCCGCCAACATCCTGGTCTCTGCGACCCTGGTGTGTAAGATTGCTGACTTCGGCCTGGCCAGGGTCATCGAGGACAACGAGTACACGGCCCGGGAAGGTAGGGGATGCTACCAAGGGACCCGTAGGGCCCACTTGGGTTGGTGGTGAGTGGTGAGAGCTGAGCCTGTGAAAGTGATCAGTAAAATGCAAAGGTCCACCCTAGTATTCACTGTGTGTTATTCAACTTGACAGAGTCTTTCTGGATATAATGTCCTGGCCCCCAACCCCCCAGAGACTCTGATTTAGATTAAGTTAGGTATGTACATGTTGAAATTAAGTGTAAGATCAACTTTACGGATAATAGGCAAAAACAGAGGAGTCCAAATGTCTATAAATAGGAGAATGAATATGTAACTTGTGGTATAATATATTCATACAATATAATATATGCAGCAATGGAAAATTACAAACCAATGCTACATGCAACAAAGTGGTTGACTCTCATAAACGTAATATCAAAATGAAAGACATCAGACCAAGAAAGTAGATGTTGGACGGTTCTATTTATATAAAATTCTGAAACAAGCAAACTCGTGTATGAAAGTTCATAGAATCATTATTTGTAACAGCCAAAAAGCAGAAGCAAACCAAATGTCCATCAACTGATAAACAGATAAACAAAATATGGTCTATCCATACAATGGAATATGATTCATAAAGGAATGAGGGACATGCTACTCATGGGTAAACTTTCCAAGCATCATGTTAGTGAAAGAAGGCAGATATAAAGGTAACATATTACATGACTCCATCTATATGAAATGTTCAGAACAAGCAAATCTATAAAGAAAGTAGATTAATGATTGCCGAGGGCTGGGGTGGGAAAAAATTTCATGTTTGTTAGGATATGATAAAAACAATTTAAATTGAGGGCACCCACTAAAAGACTTAAGAGTAGACCGTTTAATCTCTAAAACAGGAGAGGAGAACTAGGAATAAAGAAAATTCTCTCAATGTCAAAGAGGGAAGAAATGAAAAAACCACAGAGCATTTTCAAAACTTGACCATGTACTCAGCTATAAAGTAGGCTCATCAAACTTCAGAGGACATGTATTCTTATAGAGCATATTCTCCAACCACAATGGAATTAAGATGGAAATCAGTAACCAAGGATTAACTAAACCCATCCCAGACGAGGTAGGAGAGAAAGAGTAGAATGGAGACACCCAGCACCAGGGTGCTAATGTATTCGCTGAACCTGGACTCAAGCCCTTAAGTCCTGCTGTCCTGAACATTTTGTGACCTCTAGGACGCCACTCCTCAGGAGGTGTAGGTTGCTGGGTAACCACTGAATTAACAAGGTGGCCTTGAGCTGTTGGCTACCCAGCCACACCCAGACCCTCTGCCCACTCTTCTTCACTTTAGCCATCTGTCCTCAGCATGGGCGTTCCTTGCTTCTAGAGGCCAGATGTAGATTTAGGGAAATTGCAGGTCTGCCGGGGGCAGATGTGGGCAACTGTGCTGTCCTGTTCCCTCACCCTAGCAGAGACCCAGCCCACTGCTCCCCAGACCCTCCCTGACTCTGCTCTTTCCAACTCCGCAGGGGCCAAGTTCCCCATTAAGTGGACAGCTCCGGAAGCCATCAACTTTGGCTCCTTCACCATCAAATCAGACGTCTGGTCCTTCGGTATCCTGCTGATGGAGATTGTCACCTACGGCCGCATCCCATACCCAGGTAGTGAAGGGGCCTCCGCGCGGGGCTGCTTCCAGGGCCCAGGCTGGCTTTCTTCTCTTGTCCGTGTCCATTCAGACTGAGTTCTTCGTCCTCCTCCCCAACCTGCCTGCACCTGCTCCATCTCAGTTCAAGGCACCGCCATCCACCTGGTTTCTTAAGCCTGAAATCTGGGGGTTTCCTTCGTCTTTCCTTTTCTCTCACTTCTCACCACATCCAAGCAGTCACAGGTTCTGGTACTTGACTCCAGAACACATCCCAAGTCTTCCCCTTCTAACTCCACGGTCTCCACTGATCATCCCGGCCAATGTACCCTCTCACCTCGATAACCAGCCTGCCTAACCAGCACCCTGCTTCTCTCCTCTCTCCTATAGGCCATTCTCTATGTGCAGCCAGAACAACTTTTCTAAAATTGTGACTCAGATCTTGTCCCTTCTCCATCTCTAACTCTTTCATGCTCTCCCACAATTAGGACAAAATCCCAAACTTCTAATTATGCCTAAAGGTCTTACATGATCCAGCCTCTGTCTACCTCTCCAGCTTCACTTTATGTGGCATCCCACCATCCAGTCATCCAAAGTACCACACGTCCCCCATGTGTCTCATTCAAAACACGCTACCCTGTTTCCATCACATTCGGTAACCACGTGTTTGTTTAATATTTTCTCCATCAGACTCTGATCTCCGTGAGGCCAGAAATCATGTCTGTGTTCCTCACTGGTGTATCTGCCCTGCCTACCTCTGTGTCCACCACATTTGTAGGTGCTGAGAGTATTCTCTCTTGATCTGAGTGGGGATTATACGGTCTACCCATGTCAACAATGCATCGAGTTGTATAGGAAGGGTTTGTGCACTTTATTTCATGTTTGTAGGACATGTGGATGCTTCCTAGCTGCTTGTGGAATAGACGAGTTTACCTACACGCCTGGGGGCAGCACTCTAGACTGAGTAGAACACAGGGGTGTATAAAGATACACGCAACATACAGATTGCCTAGCACTCAGTAAATACTGTTGTGCTCTGTTCCTTTTTGGTTGGAACATCTCCGTGGGTATCCCCAGCCAAAACACTGGGAAGAGAGGACAAAGCAGATATAGTCTCATTTTTTTATAAACCGTCCTGAATTTGAATGGTGTCCTCATCAACTATTAGGTTTTGACAAATTCACTTCACTTTTATCCCAGAGTTTTCACCTGTAAAAAAAACCATAGGTGTCCTATCCGGTAATGATATTTACCTTACACAAGTGGTTGTGAAGGTTAGGAACAAGAGATTTAGACATGCCTTCCATGTGTGAGGCTCCAGGCTACAGTAAGAGACAAGGTCCCTGCTTGTAAGGAGCTCACGGTCTAGCCTGAGCACACACCAACCAGACACACACTCCCAAGGAGATCACTGCTGAGAAGAAAATGAAGTGGAGGCGTTTAAGAGTGAGTGATCTGGAGCTCCTGTGGACAGGGAGTACCTGTCAGAGCAGGTCACATTTGAGCTGAGAAACAGCTGAGTGAGGATCTAGGGAAAAGATTTCAGGCAGAAGGCACTGCTAGTTTATAGGGCCTGAAGGACAGCAACAAAGCCAGGCAGCTGGAGGCCAGGGATGGCAGCAGATGGGAGATGATGAGGTTGGCAGGGGCCAGATCCGGCAGGGCCCATGGTCATGGAGAAGAGTGAGTGGGTGTTAGTATAAGCTCGCGGAAGCTGGGAGGTGGCATCGTCTCATGTTTAAGTGGTGCATGGCTCAGCATGGAGAGTGGATTTGGGGACAGGTGGGAGCTGTGGCAGTGGCAAGGGCACAGGTGGTGATAGCAACAGAGATGTAAGTTGATGGATTGATGCTACATTTCAAAAGAAGAAAGGATGTGGGTTGCTGATGTGGAAAGTGAGGGAGAGAGAAGAATCAAGGATGGTTCTTGTGGTTTTAATTGAGCAACGAGGTGGGCAATGGTCTATTCTGTCTTAAAGAATTCTGTCTTAGCCCCATTAAATTTGAGGTGACTAGTAGACATCCAAGTAAACATGTTCAAGAAAGCACTTGGATATATAAGTTTGGAGTTCAAGACTGATGATATAAAATTGGGGGCCATAGACAGTTAAATGGTTGTTCTTGAAGATAACTAACAAATTCAATTAAATAAGGAAATGGTCCCATTCACACATAGGGTGCATCGCGTCTGGCCTTCTATTTTGTCTTGAGGGAAGGCCAAGAAAAACCAGGAACGGCTCTAGCACCCTGTATCCATTAGGATGAATAAACAAAATAACAGACGAAGGAGTGGTAGAAACAATAAGTTATTGTTCTCCATAAGGAGTCTGACATCGGTGACTGGTTAGTTCAGCTGCTCAGCAGCTCTCAGGACTCTGGGTTAGTTTGGCTGTGGCCGTGGCCGTCTTCCTCACACAGTCCGATGGCTGCTGCAGCTCCAAGGACCACACGGCCTCACAGTGCCTGAAGGAAGGAGTAAGTGACCATCTTCTAAAGACCCGCTTTGTGTAAAGGGGTCTTCTTTGTGGCTCTCCTCCAGTTCCTCACAAAGTCGTTACCTCAGGGAGGAACACCTTGCTTGGAAGTCTCCCTGGAGACTCCCCCTGGGCGTCCATGGGCCAACCTTGGGTGCCATGCCCCTGCCCTCACTCGGGGGAAGTCTATGGATTTCACAGTCAGAGAGGTGGAGCTCCCACAGGAGGTGGGGAGTGATGGCTGCTCCCCAGGACTCCCATTGCCAATCCCTTCCTTGTTAATCCTTGGCTCCTTCTCAGGGATGACAAACCCGGAGGTGATCCGGGCGCTGGAGCGTGGGTACCGCATGCCCCGGCCAGAGCACTGCCCCGAGGAGCTCTACAGCATCATGACGCGCTGCTGGAAGAACCGCCCCGAGGAGCGGCCCACCTTCGAGTACATCCAGAGTGTGCTGGACGACTTCTACACGGCCACTGAGAGCCAGTACCAGCAGCAGCCGTGATGGGGGGGCCGGGGCAGGGCCAGGCGCTGAGGCGATGCCCGTGAGGGGTCTCCAGCGCCATCTGCTAGATGTCCGCTCGCCACCCTCACGCCCAGACACACCCACCCTCACTCCAGCCACGGCTCTTCATTTGTCAGGTGGGTGGGCTGGGCTGGACTGGACAATCTCTCTCTGACTCTTAGCAATCCACATTCTGCCATCCTCAGGAGACCCCACGTCCTATTTCTGTTGCCTGGGACATCTGGATTCCAGTTACAGCTATGGTTTGAATAGAAAACTTTAAAAATAATGAAATAAATATTTAAATAAAAGATTAACAAGGGCTAAAGGCTTACTGACAGGCTAGTTTTTCTTCTAGCTCCTGACTATCTATTTGCCTTTTTGCTGGACAAGTCAGAAATGGGGAAGGCCCTTCCTTGAGACCAGGAGGACAAAGAGAAGTGGAGTATGACATTCAAATTGCCCCAAATAGCTGCTGACTGTGTTAGTTTCCTCTTGTTGCTGCAACAAATCACCACAAACTTGGTGGCATAAAAACAACACAAATTTATTACCTTACCGTTCCAGAGATCAGAAGCGTGAAACAGGTGGGCAGGGCCACGTGCCTTTTGCAGGCACCGGGGGAGAATCTATTTCCTTGCCTTTTCCAGCTTCTAGAGGCTGCCCAGTTCCTTCCTGTTCTTCACTCCAAATGACTTCAGTCATCATATCTCTGCCTCTGAGTCTCCTGCCTCCCTCTCTCACTTATAAGGGCCCCTGTAATGACACTGGACCCACGTGAATAATCCAGACTAATCTCCCATTGCAAGATCCTTATCACATCTGTAAAGTCCCTTTGGCCATATAAGGTGACATCTTTACAAGTTCTGAGGATGAGGATATGGACCTTTGTGTGTGTGGACCTTTGTGCCTATCACACTGGCACTGGGACTCTGGATGGGTTTCTGTCTCCAAGAAGCTGGGTCTGCCAGGGTGACATGAATGACTTTTCATGCTCTGGGACCCTGACTCTCTGGCCAACCCACATTGCTACACTAGCTGGTGGATCTCTACCAGCACTGGGGGCATTTCCCATGGCCAAGAAGCTACTATAGCTGTGAAGATGGTATCCACTGTTGCAGGAATCCTGGGGTCTGGAGATGTGGCTGCTGCGAGGTATCTGGTTCCCTGCGTGGGAAGCTCTCAGTGGACGGGAGGGAGACCTGGGAAGGAAGCAGAGAAAACACGGAGGTAGGTTGTCACAGTTGAAAGTCAGCTTTTGTTGTGAGGGAAGCAATGAGAAGAGATAACAGAGAGATGGGCACAAATGATTCCTTTCTATATTATTGCATTCCTTGAAGGATCCACATCACAGCACCCACCAGGGTCCCATGGAACCTTATACGGAACTGATTCTGTACCCCTGTGTAGCACAGAGTCTTAACCTTAGAAACTGGATATAAAAACAGTGTATAATAAAGCTATCAGTGTTTCAATTTACCTAGTTGGTAATTCCATTTTTCTCTTGTTTTCTTGTTTGGATGCATCTTTGGGTATCTGAAGCAGAGCACAGGGCTCCGTGATAGGAATCTGCACTCATGATTGTGGTACGTTGAATTGCTGTTCAGTAATCCATAGGAGTACCCTTCTCTAGACCACTAATGTTGAGCTAGGCATGAGACTTGCTTTAGCCAATAGGATATTAGAAGATGTGTTGTAAGTAAAGACTTACAATGTGCTTGTGGGGATGGCTTCCCCTCCAGCCTTTTGCCCTGAAAAGAACATGGTCCAAGAAAGATGAATGACATGTGGTGCAGATCTGAACCCAACCTGCAGCTTGGAGTAAAATCCAGCTGATCCCAGCTTCAATCAACTGAATTCCAGCTGACCTGCGGACATGTGAGAGAGGAATACATGCTTAATATTATAAGCCTTTAAGTTTTAGGATTGTTTTGTTACATAGCATTACTACAGAAATAGCTGACTGAAACATGATCTCAAGAATTTGCCCTAACCAGTTTGGCTTAATGGATAGAGCGTTGGCCTGTGGACTGAAGGGCCCAGGTTTGATTCCAGTCAAGGGCATGTACCTTGGTTGCGGGCACATCCCCAGTGGGAGGCAGCTAATTGATGTTTCTCTCTCATCAATGTTTCTGACTCTCTATCCCTCTCCCTTCCTCTCTGTAAAAAAATCAATAAAATAATTTTTTTTAAATAAAAGAATTAGAGCCTATTGCTAAATGGACAAGACCCAGGAGTCAACTCATGCCCTCCTCTCTATCAGTTTACACTGCCCTACACTCTGATATTTCCCTCTGGTCACAGGAAAGACAGGTGAAAACATGGGGCTAGAACACCAACAGCATGATCCATGAGAGAAAAAACTGACAAATTGGACTTCATTAAAATTTAAAAAACTGATCTAAAAGAGACAGAGAAATGAAAATGAAAAGACCAGTTCTGACATAAGAGAACTTATTTGCAATACACCTATCTGATAAAGGACTGATATCCAAAATATACAAAGAAGTCTTAAAATTCAATCATAGAAAATAACCCAACTAACAAATGGGTAAATGAGCTGAACAGATGCTTTACAAAAGAAGATATATACATGTGGCAAATTAGCATATGAAATGATGCTCCGCATCTATGTCATCAGAGAAATGCAAATTAAAACAACAAGGGGTATCACTACCCACCTATGAGAATAGCCAAAATCTAAACCACTGAGGACACCAAATACTGGTAAGGATGTGGAAAAACAAAACAGGACATCTCATTCATTGCTGGTGAGAATGCAAAATGGAGCAGTCACTTTGGAAAATATTTGACAGTTTCTTATAAAACTAAATATACTCTTACTATACAATTCAGCAATGCAAATACCCACACAAAAACCTACACACTAATGTTTGTAGTAGCTTTATTTATAATTGCCAAAACTTGTAAGTACCGGTAACTAAGATATCCTTCAATGGGTGCATGGCTAGCCCTGGCCCGGTAGCTCAGTGGGCTAGAGCATCATCTGGATAAGCCAAGGTTGTGGGTTCTATTGCGGTCAGTATTCAAAACAAGAATCAACCAATGAATGCATAAATAAGTGGAATAACAAACCAATGTTTCTCTCCCACTGCCCTTCCTATCTCTCTCAAATTAATAAATAAAATTAATTTTTAAAAAAAACAACAGATGAATGGATAAACAAACTGTGGTACATTCATATAAGAAGATATTGTTCAATGATAAAAATAAATAAGCTATCAAGACATGGAAGTCTGGCCAGTGTGGCTCAGTGATTGATCATCAACCCATGCACCTAAGAGATCACTAGTTCGAATCCTGATCAGGACACATGGCCGGGTTGCAGGCTCAATCTCCAATAGGGGGCGTGCAGGAGGCAACCGATTGATGTTTCACTCTCACATCAATGTTTCTATCTTCCCCTCTCTTTTTCCCTCTCTCTAAAAATCAATAAAAACATATATATATATATATATATGTGTGTGTGTGTGTGTGTGTGTATATATATGTATATATATATATATTTTTTTTTTCTTTTTAATGGAAGAACTTTAAATGCATATTGCTGAGTGAAAGAAGCCAATCTGAAAAGGCTGCATGCTGTACATTCCAAATAACTGACATTCTGGAAAAAGTAAAACTATAGAGACCATTAAAAATCAGCAATTGCCACAGATTTCGTGGGGAGGGAGGATGGGATGAATAGGTAGAGCATAAGGGATTTTCAGGGCAGTGCAACTATTCTGTACTCTTAATGGCAGGTACATATCACTATATATCTGTTAAAACTTACCGAATGTACAGCACAGAGTGAACACTAATATAAACTATGAACTTTGATCAATAATAATGTATCAATATTGGCTCATTAATTGTACCTTATATACCATATTAAGACAAGATGTTAATAATACGGGAAACTAGGGACTGGATGAGGGGGGATATGAGAACTTTGTATTTTCCACTCTTTTTCTGTAGATCTAAAACTGCTCTAAAACATAAGGTCTAGTAAATAAATAAATAAATAAATAAATAAATAAATAAATAAAACAAAACATGGGGATAAATTTTATGTTACCAATTCTTTGGGGCTCTCTGTGAAGTTCTCCCCTGAAAGGTGCCCCATTGTTAATGACTTGCTTCAATATAGCCTCTAGCTGTGGCTTTCATTATAAATATAGAGAAAGCACAGTTTTCCCCCGATTTGAAAAAACTGCCCCCTTATTCCCCAACCTGGGCCCTCAATTTTGTCACGTGTTCTGTCCTCATCACAGTATAGCTGACATAAGGCTATATTGACTTACATTCTGTTTGCATCCCTTCCATTTTGAAGGTTGGCAATGACTACTAGTTATCCCCACCCCCATGTTTCCCCTTCTCCTGGAGAAAGAGAATTTTTATCAGGGACATGTGACCATCTAGAAACAATGCTACATTTCCCTCTCCCTTTTGCAGCAAAGTGTGGTCATGTGCTTACATTCTGATCAATGGGTTGTAAAGGGAAGTATGGTATAGCAGCTTCTAGGATCCTTTTTTAAAAGATGTGGACTCTTTGCCCCTTATTTTTCATCTCTTCCTCCATCATGCTGTCTAAAATGTGCATGTGAAGGCTGGAGCTCTAGCTGCCATCTTGGACCCTGAGGGAAATGAATTAACTCTAGGGATGACAAAGCAGGACAGTGCCTGGATCTCAAGATATTTGAGGCATTGCCACCATACAGCTAGGACAATCCTTCAGACTTGTACCTCAGAGGTGTGGCATGCATTGTCAATATCCCTTCAAGTAGCCTAGACTTTTAGCTGTCATCATCTGTATCACTGTGACTGAGGGCTCTTTTTTTAAAACTGCAAACACACACACACACACACACACACACACACACACACACACACAACCCTCAGGTGCCAGTATTCCAAGATGACTTCATTCACAATTCTAATGCTCAGCTGAAGTTTCTAGATGTCTTGAGAAGTTGGCTGGCTCCCTCCTTTCCCTT